CTTTGCATATCAGGTGCAAGAGGCTCAGAATCAGGACAGGTAGCCTCATAAGCTGTGGAACTTGGAGTATGAGGGATGATACAATTCAATATCATTCAATGTTTCAAAACTGTCACGAAACTCCTTATAAGGAGGAAAATAATCAAGGAATATTACCATGCCCATCAAGTGTGACAAAAATAACACTGACAGTTTGAATCTATTTTACATACTTTAGGTCTATATTAACAAAAATAAAAAGCTGAGCAGCAGAGCTAAGAAAAGAACCCACACATTCTCACTAGAGCTAAGAAAAATGTTTGAATACATTTTTTTTGCTTGAAAAATATCGTAGATGACGACCTTGAAACTTTGAAATGTTCCACAAACTGATTTCAGTTTTGGTGAAGTTGGAGATAACAAAAAGAGTCTACACCTTTTAGAGAATATGTTTCTGACATTTTCAAATTACATCTTTGATTCTATCTACTTGCAGCAACTTTTTGAAATTTCCTTCAATTTATTTATTTTTTAAATCTTTAAAAATGCTTTGAATTTTGGAGGCTTAAGCTCAGTATGGGCTCATTTGCTCTGTGTAGGGTGCTGTCTGTTTAATAAACCTGTTATTTTGAAACCCCGAGTTGGGTTTTTGTCTTTTTGACATCCCAACCCTCCTCCTTGATTTCCCAGCTATCTCCCAGGTTTCTGCTTCTCTGTTTTCTGGCTGTCTCCTCCTTGCCACCACTTATCAGCTGCCAATCTCCCAGCTTTCTGCTTCTCAGTTTCCAGCCCACCTGATCTCCCAGCTTTCTGCCTCTCTCTTTCCTGGCTGTCTCCTCCTTTCCACCAGACTTTTTCCCTTGCTTCCACCACAGCACCACTGACCTCAAGTAACCCTAGGTCCACTTGACCTTAAGTAACCTCAGCTTCCCCTCCAGTCTGCCAGTTCTAATCCTGGCCCTGGCACTTTCACTCTCTTATTTTTCCCTCTCTCATCTTAACCCCCATCCATCTCGCTCCTCCCCCTCCTGGAAATCTTTGACCCTTGATTCCCCCTCCCATAGTCACCAAGCACCCTAGGTACCCCCAGTACCCCAAGCACACACAAACACACCACCCAAGTCAGGAACTCACGTGTGTGTGTGTGTGTGTGTGTGTGTGAACTGGCAAATATATATATATAATTGTGTTCATGGTATACGAATTAGTAATCCATGTATGTGTATTGGGTGTGCAGGTATTGACAATTGATTTTTGTCTAATTTTTGGTGTGTACAGTGTGTGGGTGCTTGAATTGGTGATAGGTATGCATGTGCTTAGACCCATAATCTTGCATGTGCATGTCCCTGAGTTGGTAGTGTGTGTGTATGCACCTAATGTGTGTATGTGCCTAACTGGTTTTTGTGTGTGTGTGTGTATGTGTGTAATTGTGTCACACCCTCCCCTCTAACAGTGCAATTTTGAGATCCTGAGAGTTGGCCTGGCCCCACAGGACAAGAAGTGCATTATGCCAAATAGACAATGTTTGTTCAAAAAATTCAAACTGGACAACCAGAGAATTGAACCTGCCTTTTCCTGCTGAAGTCATTGTGCTACATGATTTTATCCTTCCAGGTGTGGTTGCAACCAATGAATCTATGAAGCACCATAAAAACAGCAGCTTTAATTCTAGCTAATCCATACGCCTCTTTCATATGATTATGGAGGACGTTGTTATAGATGTTAACTCAAATGAATGGCTGCATCCATCAGCATGAGTACTTAGTCATAAATAGTGACACTGTGAAAAGTCTTGCATATTAGCCTTTTTATAGCCAGAAAGCCGGTAGTCAGAATTTCATGCTGAAGTATATTTGGCAATAGACTACATCATTTACTGAATGAAAAGGTTTGATTCATACAAAAATATCACAGAAATGAACCACAGAAATAAATCAGATCACTTAGAACAGTCTACCAAGCAGTGCAAGATATCATAAGTATTATAAAATGCTTTGTACAGTTGAATTTTGATTATATAAACTATGATATCCCTGTTCTCCTGACAGAATATTCCCCACTATACCTTCAGTCTCACTATTGGGAAATGTTAAGCCATATTCATTTTAAATTTCTCTAGTTTTTTGCTCCTTTTGTTCCTCTGGAGTTCCCTACACAATTTCTCTCGCACCTTGATACTTTCACTCTCCTAATTCTTGTAGACAGTTACTTCCACTTCTGCATTTTGAAAACCAAATAGCCTTGCTTCTGTTGTATGGTACCATAGTCCTTGAAGCAGTCAATGTCAGTGGACCAAACTGTTAAAGTACTTACTACTACACTTGAGTACAAGTATCCAAACCTTTTCCTTAAAAAGTGTTTTGATTACTCCATTTTAAACATTTTCCTACCCAAGTAAATAATACATGATATTAGCTATATTCAAGAAGATGTTTAATAAATACATTCTGAGGTACTTTTTATGTATTTTCTGGCTAGATTTTTAAGCTTTCATCTTCGGTATGCAACTAGAGCAATACAGCACCACATTTGCAACCATAGTTTATTTTTATTATTCCATTTCTAAAAATGAGGTATATCATCAGCTGTAACAATCTTATCTCTTTAAAGGAAAGAGAACTTTACTTTGGAATTTGAGATGGGTGGTGATACTGTATGCAGTTAAATCAAATTATTATGACCATGAACATGAATTCTGTACTACTATATACAAAAACCAAGCCAACTAACAAGCAAAACAAATTTAAAAACAACTACAGCCAAATACCAAATCTCGGAAATAAGAACCATTACTTCACATTGCCATTTCAGTTTATCTTAAAAAAACAAAACACTGTTTCATTTTATGGATGCATTTACATTTTTCAACTGTCAGTGAAAGCGTCATTCTCTACCAACCAGCCATATGTTCCAATTTTGGAGAAAAGTTATAATCTCTTTCATTGTAAGTGCTGTGGGAAATTTCCAGTCCTTTCTCTATCCCAATCAGTCTGGCTACATGCATTTAGCCAAAATGAACATCTGGGGGGAAGGGAAAAAAAAGTTCTAAGGCTATATAACTGAACATGGTTCATCCATTTTCAGAATATACTGAATGCTGGTTGCTTGATTTAAGAAGAACTGGTGTGGAATTTATTATGAAGACATAGAAAAATCCACAAGAAGCTTTGTTTTCTTTTCAGTGTTCTCTTTTCATCTCATCTCTGGGTTTCTTATACTATTTTTTTATGCTCAAGTAATGGTATTGATTACTGATAAACAGGGATACAGTTTTTCCACTCCCCGTGGAAAAACAGAGAAAAATGTTTATTTTCCCTTTTAACAGAGAAAAAGGCAGATTTTTCTTTTTAACATAGAAACGTGAATTTTCCACTTTTGCAAAGAGCTCTCTGCCCATCTTGCAAAAAGGGTAAACCCTAAGCCCTGTCCTGAGGGAGAGGGAGGTGGGAAGGGCAGAGCCTGAGACTCTCAAGTCATCCAGGGCTTGGTTCAGGCTCACTTTCCCTCCTGGAGCCTTTGGGATAAGTGGAACTTACAGGGAGCTAGATGTCAGATGGGAGCCCCCTCTGGTGGTGCTGGGGGAGGGGTTAGAGGCTGTAGGTTGGGGACGGGGGCACCAGCAAGACCCCTGTAGGTCAAGTGTGGGAGTGTGTGATTGCCAGGGCTGGGGGGCAGGGCCTCCAGTGGGAAGCTACACATGGAGGCACAGAGCCTATCCACCCTGATGGTGCACAGCTCTCACCTGCAGTGCCACAGTGCATGCGCTGGCATGGAGCAGTCTGATGCAAAGGCATGCATCAGTGGGCCAGGCCAACTCTGTGCCAACGTGTGCAGGCCCTGGGTCTCAGCCTGAGGCACATGCTACTAGGGGCTCTGCTTGATGTGGTCATGAGTGCCTTGAGGGCCCACCACCTGCTGTTGCTTAGCCACCGGAGGTGGGGTTGTGTACCGCAAACCCCATATGCAGACCCCTGTACAAACCCCACATACTTCCATACCCTCATTCCCCACAAACCCTACACCTCTACCCCACTGCATCCTGGTGCATGGGGGGAGCTGCTGCCAGGAGGGCGGGAGTGGTGGGGCAGGCAGGGAGTGAGAGGCACTAGCAGGGACTTCTCAGCACCATAAAGCATTTCTACCACAGCTGGACCCCTGTGCATTGGGCAGCAGGAGCTCTGGTTTTTCATGATGAAAAACCCCAAATCAAATGCCAAAATATATAGGTATTTAGAATTTATTTTAGTATAGTGATTGAGGTACTGGTAGGTTCCCAAACTGCTTTAAAACTGTAATATATCAATAAAACATTGTATTCAACTGATACATACCTACATATATACATACATACATACATATATATAAAGATATAGTGGCTTTTCATTTTAATCACATATTTTGAGGTTTTAATCAGATAATTTGTGATTTTTAAACAGAGAAAACCAGGATCCCTGCTGATAAATGATATACAACATTGAACCATCAACCCTAGTGAAAACCTTGGCTTGTCCATAATATCTGGCCCAAGCTTTTTGGGTTCTTTACGAATTGAGCCCCAAAATGATGTAGACTTGCAGGTAAGCTCTGCATGCTGGTATAAAATGTAGAGTGATCCACACTGTTTTCCATCACAACCTGTACTTATCTGAATAAGGTATATGCTAAAAAGCTACAATAACATATGAGCTTCAAATATTTTAAAATGTTCTAATTTCATTTTGATGACAGATATTGTGTTTTAATATTAGTTTACATTTGTTTTTTCACTGTTGTGTACTCTGAAATAACAACACTAGGATGAAAAGTTGTCTCTGAATGATGTTGTATCTTACAAATTTTGAAAATCCTGAAAGTTTCCTAATTCTAGAACAGTAAAATAAACCTGAGAAACTATAATTTTCTTGTAAATACACTGAGGATTTGCTCTTTATTGGTTTCACAATTTTATCTCGTGGAACAAACTGAAGTCTGCTTTAAAATCCAATTTAAAATATTTTGCTGAGAATCAAATACACCTGTACCTCATTCTGGAGGTCTCTGATCATTTTGCTCTTCCTCTCCATTTCTGTCTTCAGAAAATTTATCTGGAAATTAAAAAAAAATACAGCCCAATGTGAATTTTTAAAGTATGGTACAAATGTAACGTCATTTCATTGCCATTGTTAGTTTTATTTTCTCCTTCAATGTTTTGTTAGGCAATGTGAACAAGCCACTAGTCATACTTTTTCTTAGAAGAAAGATATAGCCATCAAACTATAGGCTGTTCACAGATCACAGTTTTGTATCTATTGAATAATCTGTAATAAAGTGACAATCTACAATCTGTTGAATAATCTGTTAGAAAGTAATAATCTACAATCTACAAGTAGCTAAATAATTTTCTAAAAAGCCAGGTTAAAAAAAGAAGCTTATTATATATGAAACACTTTAGAGTTCTAGTTTTGTGTTTTTAGTAGTGCATACAGGGCTTTTGTTTTTTACAGTAAAGCTGAGGGTGATCTTCAGAGAAATAGAGTTTTGGAACAATAAATTACCTGATTTTATAATCTTGCACCTGTTCAAAACTCCCCTGTATGCCATCTCCTGAATATTAATACATCTATCGCAGCCACATTCTAGTAACCTACAATGAATCTGACAACACTGAAGCCAAGGTTCTGATGTCACTAGGACACTTCATGCAACAAAGTGTAGGATAAATAAAAGTATCTGAAGTTAGTCCATAGTTTATGAGAATTTCAAGTTCATCTTGCATAACTAGGTGCTTGAGTCTGAGTTTCTAGGGTGCATGCAATTAAAAAAAAGATTCATTGCTTTATAAAAGTCAATTTGTAATGGTCTTAAAGGAGTTGGATTGTATGCAATTCCTTTCAGGGACAGAGAGCTAAGAGAGACATGTATTTAGAATAGTGGTACCTTTTTAGATTCAAGATACCCCTTATTAGACTCAAAGACACATTAGGCTCAAAGCACCCCTCATAAAAATCCCAGTTTTTAATCTTTCACATTTTTTTGACTACAGAATAACCAAAAAGTAATTTTTCTATGACAAAGAACTCAAAAAAGACAACAACAGGTTAGAGTGTTTTTAACCCTATAGATTCCTATTTGAAGTCTCTGGCCTTATCTTGTGAATCATATATAAATGTTCACAAACCTAAGAGTATTTACATTCAGCAGCAACTCTAAAAAGGACCTCTTGGCACCCCAGTTCAGAGTCACTGATTTAGAACAATTATACGTGAATAAATCCTTTTTTTACAAGTACGACAGTTATTCACATATTTGAAAATAGAACAACTCCCTTTGCTCTCTAAAACAGCTGCCTTCAGAGAACACTTTTAATTTCACTTTTAATTTAATTTTAATTATTCAGAAAACAGTACTTATAGATTAATTGTGGGAAAACTGGCTGCCTTAAGCACCAGCTAATAGAATACAGAGTCTTCCACACCTTAATCAAGGGCCTGAATGTTATTCAGATCAGAAAGTGACAGAAAGTCCTTACTATATGACAGTTATACTCGCTGGGTTGTGTCCACTTCCAAGTAGACAGATGTCAGTAATTTAAAAACCATCACCAGACTTGGCGTTGTTAACAAGGCCAGCAGAGAAGCCAATTAACTATCTTATTACTTAATGGGTAAAAGGGGAGAGGCATGTCAGATCAGGGTTGATTGGCAGTCACATAAGGAACCGTTGCTGTACAATTCTGTGCCTGAAGGGCTTGATAGTGGAAAATGCTGACTACCTTTACACTCATTGATTTTAATAGGAGTTGAAGACTTTCAGCAACTCACTGATGATTAGAGTACTCAAACAGAGAATTTTAATCTACAAGACATTCAGCCAGATACTTTTGGACACCACTAAATTACTTCAGAAAGTCACCCTGACTCTATATGTCTAAGAGGATAAAAGTGGCTGTTTAGATGCAGCATGTTATCTGTTCAAAGGATAGTTAAGAGTGACAAAAAAAAAGGGTGATTTCCATTGACATCATCTCTATTCCTTAGTCATTATCCTCAAAAGAAAATCCTTGGGCTTTGTTTTGGGTTGGGTTTTTTTGGGGGTCCCTCTCGCTGGTCATTTCTAGTGTTAGTCGAATGTCTAAAATAATGAGACATGGTATTGAAAATGCTCTCACTATGTTATCTCTATTTCTGGCTTTCTCTCTCAGTTGAAATTTACATCATAGATACCTTTGTACCACTTTATAGGGACTCATTTCACACATACATGCACACATCCCTTCCCCCACTGATACAGGCATCATCAGGTGTCCAAGGAGCTCATTAATATAAGCATATTTAACTTTTTCCAGAAAAATGAAGAGAGCCTACTAAAAAATGTTTTCTTTTCAGATAAAGTATGTCTCAATTAATAGAAATATATTATTTGCACTTATAATTGGAATTCTAGGACTGTACTACTCAATCTCTAACAGCTGAAGAGCCGTTTAGTCATAAAACATAACTATGGAGACCCACAGAAGTTGATTTATACCACTGGCTACCAAAGGTAATATAGAGATAACCCATCTGTCCATTTCAATATATCTGTCTGTATACTCAATCTCTGTACTATTGTGCCCTAAGGCAGCTGCCTCAGTGTCAAGATAGCCTATAGGACTTTTATTCCAACCCAAGGAAAAAGCAGCATGGAAAACTATGATGTGGTTCAAAAACTCTGAGTTGAATAACACTGCTCTGGGGCATCTAATAATGGTGCATGAATCATTTCTAAGGTAGGTGTAAAAACCCTGATTTTAGCCTTCTACAGCCTAATACACCTGTTACTTTATACACAAAAATGGACAGTCAAGCTGTTTTTATTTAAATGAAAGTTGGAGCAATCACTCAAGAGTTTTATGCATCTCTGGACACCTGGGATGCTTGTTCACTCTTCTCATAGTTTGACTTTCAATACCCATAAAATATTGGTTGCCTTTAATTAATAACTAAGAGTAATGAAAACAAGCATAATGAAAATATATTCAAGCTCCAAGACTGAACTTTTCAATGTGAAATAAGGACGGTGCTTCTGTGTCTCCAGGAGACAAGCACTCAAAATATTTGGAGCTTTCTGTGCTTCAGAGCTTATTACGTTTATTAAAGACAACAGCTTCCATCCACTGGCCTTCAGTCTCAGCAGTTTCTGACCTTGAAATTTTCAAATTAGATTTCTCTCCATTGAAATACAAAATGCCTTAGCAGATGGCGATGATCTAAGAGTCAGACAATATTTAGTTATTTACAGGAGGTAAGGGATGGAAAAAAATCCCACCCATATATAAAAATTATTGCAGAGTGATAGCTTGTCCTGGTATGCTTATTTACTCACCTTTAAACTTGTTATATCTCACTTAGGACAGGTTAAGCCATGAACAAGTAACACTGTACTGAAATACAGTCTGCCCTAGAAGTTAATTGCTATGGCAGCACATGACCACCCTGCCACTGTCCACAGAACCACGGAACAGCAGCATATTAGTTATAATCCAATTCAAGATTTAATTTACCTGGGACTGAAAATAAGGCAAGCCGGGGTTTGGTTTGTTTTTTGGGGGTTGGGGTTTTTTTTGCCCAAGGCATGATTTTTTACAGAAGAAAATTCTTTCAAAATATTAAAAAGAAAAAAAAAATCTCCCTTCCCATTGGCTTGGAAAAAATAGGAGCAGTATTTGGCCTCTAAAGCAAAGCAGGAGGAACAACAACCTTAAAGCTTAGAAAGACCTGGACAGTATGCTGCAAAACCCATAAAATATATGCTGCATTTGGGGGCTCAACTCTGCAAACTGCTGGCAAACATTCCCTGCCGCCCCCTCCTCCCACACCCCCAACTCTCCCTTAACTGCCATTAAAGCGAATGGAGCTGAAAGCATTTTCAGCAGGATGTATGACCAAACGCTTAAAAAAATAGATCCTTTCATTACACAAAGTATTTTATTTTGGTATCCAGGGTTTTCCATTAAGAGTTTTGTTATGCTTCTACTCCAAGCAAGACACTGATTGTTTAAATGAAGCAAAAGTGAAATACTTCTGGTATAGTACAAGAATTTTGGATGAAATCTTAGAAAGACAGAACTGAAAGACCTTCAAATCCAGCATTTGATTGAGAGTGATAACTAACTGTTTCAAATTGTTTTCAGATTGTTCGAGAGACTGGAGGCCCTGTGCCCCTGAAACTGTCCTGCTCTGGTGTCAGGAAAACCTTGACTCAGCAAGGCCTCAGCATCTACCTGGCCTCCCTTCCCTTTCTCCTTAGTTTAATGAGGTCTAAACTTCTCACCAGATGCCTCACTTTTCTGTCCCTTCTTGGGAGGTGACTAGGTTATGTTGGGTTGTCAAAAATATAATTACAAGGGTATTTCAAGGCTTTTGCAGATCAGACCTGGAAGATGACAAGTCAAAGTAGTGAAATATGGGCATCTGTGTAATGACTAGTGACTGGTTTTCTTACGAAATCATAAAAGTTGCTTCTACAGTAATTCAATGCATAACAAAGGTATGAAAGATATAACAGTTTTATCACATTTTGGACACATACACTTCATCTCTGTCAGCTGATTTTAACAGCCAGTTGTCAGTTATTTAAAAGCTTTCTAGCTCTACTTACTCTGTTATTTCTTTAACCTTAGTAAGTACTGTGTGCAGCTAATCAGGGAAAAGCCAAACCATGTGCGGGCAGGGCCTGGTCAACCCAATCAGCTAGAACCTCTTCTTCAGCTTCTAAGTTCCTCTGATTCTCCAGCTATGTCTGAATCTCTTCGATAGATGAAACCACTCGGGAAAATAAGGAAATGTCATAGTCTTACCTGCCAATGATATATCAACTCAACTATATATTGAAATTCTCAAATAATGCAACCACTGCTACTGCTAAGATACTAGAATAACTAGGAATTAGCTCTTAAACAAAGAGGACTTGACTCAAGGTAAATCCAAAAAAGCCAGAGATGATGTTAGTCAGAAAGGACTAGCCAAGGCACTGTCTTCACCTTCCACCAATGACAGAACCCTGTATTTGTCAAAATGGTACTAAACTTTCAGGTGTTGCTTGACTCTCACTAAACCTGGAAGAACAGGAAGCATCGGTTTCCAAAAATGCCTTCCTTCACTTCCAGCTGCTAGGAATTCTATCTGTTTTCACATGAGAATATAGTCAGTCTCCTCCAGGTTAGTTTATTTTAATTTAGCATATCTAAACCTGAATATGAAGATGATACACAAACTCTAGCTGATACAGAGTTGGGCCACTGGGTTTTAATATAGCCTGGGCTACTGTGAACACTTGGATTGTGTTGTTGAATCTTTCCACCAGCTCTGTCTCAGCTTCTGATAAGGCAATCAAGCCAAAGCTACATCAAAGATCCAATTAAGGCATATGAACTCCTGTGAGTGTTAGCCCTATATAACAATTAAAATGACCAATCCCAAAATGAGCAATAAGAGATTTAGGGACATAGTATTTCTGAGAAGAGATAGAACAAACTTGCAAAAGGGATTATCTAAACTCCTTCCAACAAGAGTCTGACAAGCTTTAGGAAATCTTGCACAATATTAAAAAAATGAAACTTTTCTGTGTACTTTATTTTTCATTTTACCTTTTTAGATTTTCTGTTTGTTTTCCCCTTCTCAGTTTATATTTGTTTACAATGTCATACAAAATGAAATTTATAACTGTTCCCTGACAAAGCAGCACTTATAGACTTATAGACATAATTAAATTTCACACACACATTAGTGCAAAACGAATGCTTATTCAGCAGATGCAATTAATACACATAATTTGCTAACTGCTATCATTTAGTCACCACTTGCCTCATCTAAACAGAGATAAAGCCTATAGCATTCTCAAATACCACTGTGTGTTAACTGTTTACAATTCTGAATTTTCATGTTCAACACTTGATGTCTAGTAAGAGGAATTTCAAGGAGAGGACTGAATCCCCAGACCATCCTGACCCTGTATGCCTAGATCCACCCCCATGAAGTCCTGCAACTGAAGGATGGTTAGGAAGCGGGTGGGGGGGGGCACTTTTACCTTATTTAAAGGTGACAGAATAGGGGTCTTGCCACTGGTGTTTGGCAGGTAGAATGTGATAACTCTGAGGTCAGTTGTCCTTTGCTTTTATAGGGCTCTGAGAGATGTTATATTGTTAAGCATGTATAATAGGGCCCTGCCCTGTTACTAGGGGCTCAGAGGAGTATGAACAGCCCCACACTCAAGAAGCATCTCTGCATACCTACCCCAGACTGGGGAGAACTCACTGGAGCCTAGGGAACTGGGTCCTAGGACATAGTGAGTCCTGCAGCAAGGGAGCTGACACAGGTGTGGGGAGTGAGAGAGGTTTAGTCACATGAGCCCAGAGTGGGAAGTATAAAAGACACTGAAAGCAATCTCAAGAGGCTGCACCTGGTGAGGGAGAAGGCTACCTGGAGCTGTCAGGGGTTAAGCAGCCACCAGGAGAGCTTGGAGCAGGGTTCTCTGTTTGCTTGCTTGCTTGATCATTTGCTTTGTTACACAAGCCTGCAGGCTCTGCATAGCCTCTGAAAGACAAGAGGCAGCCAGGTGGTGAAGCTGGAAGAACCACTAGAAGACAGTTAAGTGCTAACTTATTTGTTTAACTTCCTTTTGTTTTATTTTGCATTGCTAAGAAGCTTGGGGTAGCCTCTGGGTGTTATCCACTAGCCTGGCTGCAGCAGAGGCAAGTGTGTCCTTGGCAAAAGCCCACATCAAAAGTAAAACTGGTCACCTCAACTAGCTTGACCAAACATACCCTGCTGTGATCTGCCCAGACTGTGCCCATAACTGCCTACACCATGTTAACCACGTCATAACTTGTAACATGCCTCAGGTTCAGCCACTTTATGGCATGATAAAATGGCAAACCAGCCACAAAGATGCTCCACATTAAATGAGAGCCTCTTTAAGATGCCTGTATATATTGTGCCTTAAATTGAATGTGTGGCATATATCCCAGGCCCAGGGCTTCCCTTGAATTGATCCTGAGGCTCACTTGGGCTTCAGAATAGAGTATGGGCAGCACCAGAGCCTGGGACACAGTCTTTCCCTCTCTTGCCTCCTCCCCGGACAATGTCTCAGCCCGAAGGTCAGGAAAGGGATAGTCTTGGATCCCAAACTGGTGGGCACCCAGAGCTGTCCTTTGTCCCCCACTGCCAGTGAAGCCAATGGAAATGTTCATATTTTCTTTAGTGGGAGTATCACCAGTTAATAAACCCACATTTTATTCACCAAGAATATTCAAACCTGGTGCAGGTATAAATAAAAGTAATATGATCTTTCATTCAAACCACATCTTGGCAATGGTTTACAAAATCATTTAACTTTTTTTTAAATGCTAGTCTTGAGTTGACCCCATTATTGTCTTGGAAGCCTAAAAATAAAACAATTAAGCAGAGCAAAAAGGAGGAAAAAAAAGGAAAAGAAAGATGAAAATAGAAATTAATGGGAGATCTTGAAAGCCAGCTTCAAAATTGCAGTAATATATCTTGTTACCAGGTGAACAATTGAAGGCAGATCAGTTAGCTATGTTCTGGCTATTAAGGTACTGCCATCTATAGGCGATAATTCCTATTTACAACCTAGCACAAAAGCAAAGAAACAAAGAGATTCTAATTTTCTGTGAAATAGTAGTAGTCTAGGCCATTTAGTCTCAATGGGGTAACTGTAACAACCTAAGGTCAAACAAGTTGCCCCTCATTAAAAGAGTACTGAATTTAGCCAAAAACTACTACACACTGTAATGATTTACTTCCACACAACTTAATAAATTATCAAACTGCATTCCAATGCCTTTTGAAGTCAATAGTCCATGGATTTCAATGAGATAAAAGTTGGATCCTGATTCTGTTCCTGACGAAACTGTTGTAAATCAGGTATGATTGCAACAAAGTTAATTTAACTTATGTCAGTACATAAGTATAAAAGGGAGGAAAAAGTCCTTGAATGCCTCTTCTTGGAAGAGAGACTAAGGTCAAAATCCTCAAAGGTAGTTGGGCACCTAAATTCCCTTTGAGAATTTGGGCCTAAGTCCTTTTTTCTCTACCTAGAAAAAGTATTAATACCCACTCAAATAATAAAAGGATTTTCATTCAAAGTTGTTATTTGCAATAATGAAAAATTCACAAGAGAGGAGGAGAGAAAAGACAGAAGAAGCAAACAAAAATAATGAAGGAAAGACAAAAAAATCACTCACAGTTGCCTGCTGCTTTTCTGCTTTCTCAGCTGCCTCATTAAGCTGCTTTTGAAAGGCCTCCTGGAGAGATTTCATTTCTTCCCTAGTTTGGTGAAAAGACACAACACAAACTCCATCACTACTATCCATTAGGAAATATTTTTTTGTTTACTTAAGTTTCAAAAGGCGGTACGTTCAATTATACGGAGTAATAGACAGGTGTGCTGTGTCTATTTTTTGTTAATAAAGACTTAATGACCCGGTGAACTCTAGTGCTAATGCAAGAGGAAAATTATCTCTAATGGAAATTGGCTGCCTTTTGTATCTACTGTTTATCCTGCTGTGTAAAACACCTGCCAATGTAAAATTTCTAGTAAAAAAGAATTGGTATAATAATAGAGAAGAAAGTAAACTGCTAAAGGCACAATTAATTGAAAATAAACTACTGTCATGGAGAGCTAGTCTATATTTTCCTTTAAAAAAAATTTCAGCAGATACAACTAACCTAGTAGTTGTCTCTTTTGCTGGAAGCAAAATACCTATAACTCCATAAAAGGTCTTGGCATATACTTGTTTTGAAGAGGCAACAATATAAATAATAATGATTGTGATGGTTTCTTTTTCATATTGTATTATTCATGCTAACAAACTGGACACTAATGCAGACAATTTTCCTGCCAGAGAACTGTCAGATCTAAACAACATGTGGCCATCCCCTCAGCTCCCATCATAGGGCACATGCTAGAGAAACTGTACACAGAACATCTTCAAGGGTGACATATTTTGAATAAGCCCAACAGCATTGTCAGGTCTGCCTCTGGTATAAGCCAAACTTCAGGATAATGCTGCTGCAACCAGCCCCCAGAAACCCCTGCTGGCCTTAAGCAGAGCTCAGGTGAAGAGGAGAATTTAGCCTATTGCCTACTTGATTGGTATAGAATGCATCTCGTACAAAAGGCGAGAAGTATATCACTTGCTGGCTCATCTTTTTATCTGCATCACTGTTCACCGGAAGTCCTGGTATACTGAAGATTTAATTGAAACAGTGCTGGAAGCAGCTGGCAAAGGCAGAGGGCCATCAGCACTAGGACTCCCAATGCTGTTACAGCTTAAATCAAAGTCACTTTAGAGTGTTGACAGTTCCTTGAAAAAATAGAACTTAAACAGTCACAGAAGCCTCCAAGATCTAGCACAGCATAAAAATGTAACTGAACAGAAGGTAAGAGATTCCAGTTATATTTCTAATCATTAAACAGTAGATTCAGATCCTCTGCTGATATAAATCAGCAGTTTCACTGAGGCCCATGGAGCTATAGTAACTTACACCACCTGGCATTCTTCACTTTACTGCATCATGCATCACAGCATGGGCAGACAAAGTGCAGCCCATCAGCCAAATGTAGTTCACATTACTAGAGAGCAAACAGTTTGTAGGTTTAATAAAGGGATCCAGTCCAGAAGCTCTTAACATGTTCATTCAAATGGTTTATATTAAACATGAGGACAATTGCACTTTAGGTACAGGCTTAGGCTCTTAGTACATAAATCATATGGCCTCCCACTGGGTGAGCTGAGGGAAGAATAAAAGTATGATCTACAATGAGGGTAACACAGGTTTCTATTTTGATATATTGCTTATCTACTAGGAAGTGTTTCCTTTCAGTCTTTGAATTATTGGGAAAGATGCATAAAAGGGCAGGTACACAACGCTCATGTAATTAATTATATGATTATTTTCTTCGTTACTATGTTATAAATATGGACTTCAAAAATGGTCTTCCATAACTGTTGTGGAACCAAAGTCCATCATGTAGTAGGAAAAAATAACAGAAATGTAGGGCTTGAAGGGACTTTAGGAGGTCATTTAGTCCAGTCCCCAGTGTGTAATTAGCAATCATTTGAGTACTCACAAGCACTGTTTCTATGGCTTTTTTTAAAGTGTGTTATAAAAGACTGAAATTGGAGAGGGAGAGAGATGAATACAAAAATGAAGCTATTCACTAGTACACTGTAGACATCAAACTGTCTCTCTGGGAACTGTGTTGCAGCAGTACATTCCTATATACAAAATACTCAGTTTCATTGAAAACATAAGCATCATTCAGTTTAGATGTACTGTGATGCATTCTAGGGGTGTCTTATACAAGAGAATGTAAAGAATAAATGCTAAGCTCCCATTGATGATGTCTTTTCTCTATCTCCTCCCAAGTTGTTTGGTAAGAATTTCCATAATTAACTTCTCAACTTCTATCTGAATGCAAGCCACATGTCTGAAGGCCAAACTTTCAAAGTGCCTAGTTATTTTGGAGGCTTAATTTTTTGGATGTTTAAAGACCCTGATTTCTCAAAACACTGATTACGTCCATCCTCTGAAGATTAGGACCTTTGGGTGAACTTCAGGTTGGATATAAAAAACAAACAAACTGATGTACATTATTCACACAAATCACTTTCGAAGATGTAGATCCAAAGTTTTGTTGACTCGAGCAAAAATGATTCCAGGTCTGAACTGTACTCAAAAACCTAAACCTATCCTATGTGGTGTACGTGTAATTTAAACATTGCCTCTTGTTAAAATGATTAATGGATAACTAAGAAGTGAAGTACATTCAGTGGCAACCACAATTTCATATGCGGCAGATGATGGCTAGAAAATGGTATCTAGTGGTTTTATTTTGGGAATTGTTTTGTAGGTAAAGTAGATATGCATTAGAACAATGATCCAGGGCAATGGTAAGGGTTCATTGATTTCTAAAAGCCTGTTTGTGACAAGGTTTTGTCAAGGCCCACTGTGTCTGACACAGGCAAGCAGCAAGCAGACACACAGGCTGGGAAACTGAAGACATGTACCTCACTGTTCCCTAACATGAACAATGTATCCACACAGAGATAAGGGACTCTGCCATGTTGGCCAGGTCACCCAACTGCAGGGCCCTTGAGATTTCTGGCTTTTGGTAAAGAGACCAAATTAGGAAAAGATTGGTAAAAGTCCAAATTAGGATGTGTGCATGTGATGGTTTTGTGAAACAAAGGAATATGCTGACAGGAGAGAATGTGGACAGTGTGACAACCACAGGGAGAACAATCAATGATGCCCAGGAATGAAGAGTCATCAAAGTGGGGAAAAGAAAACAAAAAGAGAGATTTTAGAGCAGAAAAGAGCCCCTGAGAGGATAACCCGAGGCCACTATGGTATACCACCAGCCCATCTCACCCGCTCCACTGTGGGTGGGGGATGGGGCTCAGCCTTCAACTTCCAGGCTGCTGATATCTGACATTCAAGAGAGAACCTCAGAGTGAAACTTGCATATTGGTCAGACAAACCTCATCTCTGTGAACCCTGGGCCTGGTAGATATAAAATTGTTTGCATTATTCTTATCTGCTATCACTGTGTATCAATAAAATTTGCCTATTATCAAATGGAGAGGTTGTGGTCAGTCTGAGGGTTTGGGTCCTCCTGGAACAATGTATCTGGTCATAAATCCAGTGCCAAGAGCTGAAACTATCTTGCAATGGCATTCCCCCTTGCTTTTTTTATTTACCACAGTCGAGAGTGACTGGAAATAACTTCTCTGAGATGCTTACAAGTTTGAATAAAGGAAAGATTAAATGTTAAGGTCTCATAGTTTTCAGTTTATAAACTTAAAGAAAGAAGGGAGGAGGTAGAGTCTTACCTTTGTTTTTGGCCCAGTTCCAGAAGTTTCTCCACATCACTTTTGGCAGATGCCTCATCATTTTTCAAAGACTGACAACGAAGGGGAGAAAGTATTACCAAAGATCCTTAATGCTACTCAACTGTGAAATGATTAACGGTGACCTTGTCTATAAACAGCTCCCATTGAATAAACACATTTTACCATGTTTTAAGGAAAAGTATTGCTATAACTCAGCTCTAACCACATACAGCTGTTCCAAATGCACATGTGGAGATTGAAGAATGTCCTAATAATATTGGCCATTGGCTCTGTATGTCCCATAAAAGTAGTACATTTCTTTGCATAGTTCCTGCTCTCTGCTAAAGCAAATTAAAACATATAAAAAGATAATTTTTTGGGTACTCCTTTTGATTTCTTTTGCTTTTGATATAGATAATTTTAAACAAAGCTTATTAAGAAAAAGGGTAAGCATATTCCCTGTGTAAACTGGGAAGGAAAAAAAAAGTAAGGGTAAAATTGAGATAATTCAGATTGGTTATCAGCTGAATTTTTCATAGTCATAGTTTTTTTTCATAGTTTCTAGGGTCGGAAGGGACCTGAGCAGCTCATCGAGTCTGACCCCCT